GTGATAGCATGTTAAAGAAACAAAAAGGGAAGACAACATGAAACATAAATTACTTTTCCCCTTCTTTTTCCTTCCAGTAGCATGGGTAGGAGCTATATTAATCTGAACAGTAATTAACATGTAGCATTCCACACGTTTTAGAACTTGCTTGTCCCAAGCCAAAATTAGAACAGGTGCAACCTTGAAGGGGGAAGACTGTGGCCTGTGAAGGACTCACACTGAAGCATAGGAAAGGAGTGAGAAATGACTGACTGCACACATGATGCTTGTTGCCTCACTGATGGGACTGAGTGTGACCTATGGTGATAAGGGGGAGGAGAGGAGTCTGGAGTGAAGTTGAGCCTGGGAAAGGGTGTTTTCTCCCTAAGTGTTCCACCATTTCTCTTTTTTTAAGTTTCCCAATAACCAAATCTGTAATTACTTATGCAAATTGCCAATAAATTAAGGCAAATTCCCCAAATTTAGCCTGTTTTGCCAGTGACAAAACAGTCACAGTGCTTGTTGAGTGATTTCCTTGTCTTTGTCTTAGCCTAAAAACCTTCTTGTGCCTGTTCTTCCCATTTTTGCCCTGGCCTGCCGTTGTGGGAGTGTGTGAGCAAGCAGCTGTGTGGGTCCTTGGCTGTTGTCTGGAGTGAACCCACCACTATCATCTGGGCAAGTGTGACAATCGAAGAACTGAGCTTACTGAACTACATTTTGTGATGCTGGAACCCATCTACTGGATAGCTAAAAAGGACACAATATCCTTCATAGCTAAATGCTGTATTTGTCATCTGAAATGCAAAGGATGGTAATTTTTAACACGTAGAAGATCATAGCATCACAGAATGGTTTGGGTTAAAAAGCGCCTTAAGGATTATCTAGTTCCAACCCCACTACCATGGTCTGCACCTTCCAGTGGACCAGGTTGCTCACAATACAGTGTATCACAATCCTGAAAATTACTACCATGGGGAAAATATTCAGCTGAACATGAGAACTTGATTCAAAGGACATAGGGAATTATTAGCTGCTGTATGTACTAGAGACTTCAGCTGCACACGAACATGCACAAGCGCATTCAACTTAGCTGCCTCCCAATTTGAATAAAGAGTTGAACTATGGTCAAATGTTTCACTAAAGAGGAAGATGTTTCGGTTAATTGCTCTCCCAAGGCATTAACCTTTGAATTATGCAAAACTGGGATCTGTCAGAAGATGAAAGCATCTGGGACCCATTCTATTTCTTTCATGTTTTTCATGTTCTCTCCCAGCAGCACTATTCAGCATGCACAACCCTGTGCCACAGCTCCAAGCAATGTCCTAGCCATCCTCCTCACTCACCAGCCCTTGCTGACACAGAGGTAACCCAAAGCTCTGAGGTTCACAAAGAGAGATGCAAATGAGACAAACCCCAAGGAGAGAAATTTTCTGTATTTATCTCCTGTGCCTGCTAGGTACATCACCTCCTGTCACTAGGGCACGTGGGTTTCCTTGGAAATTTTCTGACAAATCTCTAAAAAACCCTCTGCAAGGGTGTCTTGTCCATTCCTGGCCTAGATCAGGGTTGGACTAACACCGTAAGGGATGGTGTGAACAGTAATAAATGCCACTTAGTGAGGCAGCAGCACCCTTCCAGCCCAGCAGCCATGCCAGGCTCCTCTCCAAAATAATTTCAAGGGATACTCAAAGACTTGAATCCCGCCCTCTCATGAAACCAGGCCCAAAATTAAAGTTTCTCTCATGCCAGGGAGGTCTTTGAGCACCCTGAGACCCTCACAAGCCAAGAGGGAAGGACAAGGGCTTCTGTGGCACCAAATCCCACCTTTACTTTTTCTTCAAAATCTGGAACTCTTCAGAAAAATGAAGACTCCAAAAAACATTAGGGCTGTAATGGCACTAACATAACAGGGTCATGGGTGGAACTGCTGTAATATTGCTGAAGTATAGAGGACAGGAAAATCCAACTACTAACAAAACAAAAAAAAGTAGGTTTTTTCTGTGCTTTGAAGAGAATGGACAAATCTTTATTTTTCTGGACAACTAAACTGTTTTGAAATCATATATGCTCTAGGGAAATTAAAAACTGCATTTGAAAACTGTTTCCTAGACATTGGATTCAATTGCCTGAGCCTGAGCAGGTGAACATTTTTCATTAGCTTCAACTTAATAGCCACAGACTAGACAAGAAAGCAATTGTGGTATTAAAGGTGAAGAATTAAGATTGCCAGCAGTTTTCTTTGGAGTTAAAATAAAACAGGGAGCATGGTTCATACATTTTTTGAGAAGCAGTTTTAAAAAAAGATGACATTCAAAGCCCAAGACTTCCTACTCCATTACAATAAAAGATACAAATTTCTTCAGCTGCTTTGTTAAAAACATATAATTTCAAGTCTGGGGAAAAATCCAAACCTGATGCTGATGCTTCTTCTCACTAAACTACAACCAATAAATATTAAACACATCCTGACCCGAAACTTTAGTTGCCTACAGCACTGCATTTTTAAAAAATTGGTAATGACTTCTGGATTTGTGCAGCAAATTTGTCTCTGCTACTGACTGGAAAAGATCCTGCAGCACCTGTCACTTCCATAGTGCTGGTTAGTTCCAGATGCACTTTATTCAGGAAGATTTTTATGTATTTTTCTTTTATATAGACACACACACATATGTATATACACGTATTTCTTTATATGTAAAAAATATGTATTTTTTTGCTTTATACATATATAAAATATATTAACAGAGAACCTGATTTAAACTCAGTGCAGCCACAAACCTGTCTCAGTGTTTCTTAAGATTCTGTGTAGACCTTTCTGCATTTATCTCTAAGACATGTGATTATCCTCACCTGAAGCTCCTTTTCCTTCACATCCCATTCCTGTTCCTGTCATGATTCAGGTAGCACTTCTGACATCTGATAAGTCAGCAGATCTGTTTCAATATGTCCTTTCTGGATTCTTGGGACAAAATTAATCTCAACTAACTTCAGATAGCTAGAGCAGGGAGATTTATGCTGATCTCTGTCAGCTCCCACTACAGTCAGTGAGGAGAACCAGACCCTTGTAGAGACCCACTCCTCTGGCTGATTGAGTACCATTGCCTTCCACTGACAAGGCAGAGAGCCCAAGGTGACCTAGTTCAGATGCAAACACCCAAATAGGCAAAGTAATTTCCACTGTCTGTGTCAGACCTTTATTAAATCCCTGCTATTAATATGTTCAAGGTCACAAAAAAGTACATTTTGACAATTTATCCCTTTCAGCTGTAATGCTTTTGTATTCCTATTCATAAATAATAGGCTAATCATTAAAAAGCCCACTATAACAATACGTACGTATGTCTGTTTGTACCAAAACAAGAATAAAATAGACAAAGTTTATTGACATCTGTAGATGTTACTGTTGATGCAAAATAGATAGCAATACCCTATGCTTAGGCATTACACCATTTCCCCATGCAGAGCAGAACCAAATCTAAAGTAAGAAAATTATTTCATTCAGTGAAAAAAAAAAGTTCCTTTTAATAAATAAAGTATTTGCTATGCAGGTTTTGATGAGATGAAATTATTACAGGTATCAAGCCTTCTTAATTAAAAGCTACAAATTATTGAACAAAACAACTCAGAAACACTTTCAGGAAACAAAACTGCTAAGATACAGAATTCAGATGCTTGTGTTTATAAATATATATACATATACATACAAATACAAGGAGCATAAGGGATAAAATCGCTTTCCTGTACACAAAGGAACTGAGCACTCTCCATTGTCTTCAAGCATTACCATTTAGACACCTCATGCAACTGCTTTAGCTCCTGCAGGCCCTGTTCACATTTTTGTTACTGGCTTGCATTTTCTCCTGCTGGAATTAAAAAAAAGCCCCTGCCTGTCCCCATATCTCTAGGATAAAGAAAGGAGAGGCTTTGTTTCTTAATAAATCCCACTTTCTTCAATACAACTAGGTGCCTATGGGATTGTAAGTTCTCCACAAGTATTTTGTGAGGTTTAATATTTCTTCATTAATATTTGATATTAACATTTCTTCAAGTTAAGGTCCATTATTTTGAAATCATCAAACTCAATTGATTCTTTTAGAAAACAGAACTGAGCAAAATGTTCCATGTAGTAAAGTAAATCTCAGTTGTCCTGGACAGACTTCTTCAAACATGGAGGTCTAAATTGAAGATAGCAATCTAAGGCAAGGAGATTAATATACAATCAGATGATAAAATGTGTGTGCAACACTGCTTGTTGTGAATGAATGCCATGCACAGCTTTCTCAGATGAACTGCAAAGGAAATCTTGGCAGGAAACACTGAAATCAGCCCTTAAAGGATTTACAAATTGACAAAACCCATCTGCAGCTACTGGGTCTAACTCTATTGCATGTGATCTATTAATTAATTCTGCTATTTTTAGCTTTGATAAAGCTTATGTACTTTCCTCTTATAATGTAGATCTTCTGCTCATCTGGCACACTGTTCTTGTGCGTTGATTCTTTTTCCCCTGTATACCAGTTCTTCACCTTCAGGTACCACCGCTGGGTGCAGGCAGCATAATTTCCCATGTCTGAAGTAAGTACAGCCTGCAGCCATTTGCTTGGTCCATCCCTGGAGAGAGGTGTTCCAGCAACAGGGGAAGCCAAGTGGAACCTGAAGCAGCTACACAGAGACCCCAGTTTACATCCTTCCCATCCCAGACAGTCCCAAGTCAAAGCAAGTTTAATAGCCCAGAGTATAAACCGTGGAACCTCAGGAGTCGCTTCCTCTGTGTTTCATCCTCCCTAGCTAGAGACAGACAAGTGAAAGGCAGTCATTGCTTTAGGCATGAGAGTTTTATGCATCCGTGGATGTCACAGTAAACCCTTAGGCTAGCACTGGAACACCCAGCATTACCTTCACCTTCTTTGTCAGGCAGTCCAACCTTTTTTGCCTGACAACCCTCTAATGTGACATGTTTTTCCTCCCAAGAGTATAGCAATATATTTTATGATTTTTTAGGGCTGACTAATGGTGAACTGAGATGCAATGGGAAAGCAAAATGTTTACACAATAAACCCATAAATCATTTTGTAATCATTAATGAGCATTCTCAAGATTTTACTGCTGCTGATTAGAAACCTAATTCACTGGAACTGGTCACTCACTACATTACACAAAGGAAAAGAAGGCACTGGTCCTTCACGTTCTGAAAAGGGGGATGTGATAGTAGCGGTCATCCTCGGTCAGGAGAGAAATCTCGTTCCATTCCCTTCGGTACACATCTGGATAGTTTACTTGAAATTCCTCAGTATTAAACATGTGCAGTCTGTAAACTCTTATCTTTACTTCAAGTAAGTATCCAAGAAGAAAGAGTTCAACCTGAAGATGAAAGAAGTCTGTAAGACATTTATTTCTAGACTTAGAAAACTAAACTGAAGATAATACAAGTTAAGGCAAGTCACTTAGCTTCAAAACAGTAGGCAAGGAATAAAAGGGGCCCTTTTGCAAGTGGAGTAAGAAAATTTAAAGTTTGGAGGCATTTTCAACAGTCCTTCCACTGCTCTTTTGCATGTAGAGGATATTCTGGTTAATGCTAGACACTTCAGATACATTCCTTCTCTTCCACCTGATACAACACATAACCTGCTCTCAAAGCCAGCTCACACACCTTAGTGGGGAGCAAGAGAGGACTAGCTATTATCAAAACATTGATACACCTTGAGAAATGGGAAGCCTGCCACCTTGTGATCACTTGCTAACGTGAGGAAAATAGCAAAAGGAAAAAAATTCCTCGTACTTCACATATGTGAAACTTGCGAACCGGCATCTTCATTGACACATCTTGCAAAAGGTTTGCTTAATCTGGAAAAATGCTCTGGGAAAAGCTCATACCCTTGGGCATAGCCAGACAGAGCAGAAATTATCCAGTTACAGTCAAACTGCTCCTGAAGATGACTGCATCATGTAACAGTTGACCTGACAACTGACATTGATTACAAGACATAATTTCAGCCATTAGAAAGTGAAACTATTTGCAGAGTGGCAGTGCAGACCTTAAATGTCAGCACTTAACTCTTCACTAAATATAAAATAGGAAACAAATCTTTAACATAAATAAGTGAACAATAGACTTCCCATTACCTACTCTTAACAGATATTATATCTGATGGGAACCAAAGAGAGGGGAAAAAACAGAACGGTACTAGAGGTTTTGGCATAGTGCAACAGATAAGAAAAGCAAAAAAACTGTGTAATCTAAAATTATTGTACATATCAAAGGTATCATTGTTCTAAACTGTGTCTTATTGACAACCTGCAGCATTTATTTTTGGCCCAGTGTGAAAACTGCTCACTCCATTTTACTACATTTTTTTTCCTGGAAGAGAAATAGCTATCCTCACTTCCCCACATCCCAAAGAAAAAAGAATGGGCCAGCTATCATGGATGATGTATGATATAACCACCTGATCACATCAGACATGGAATACATTTTGTGGCTTATTTTCTATTTATATCCTTACCTGGTCTAGGCAAATAGAGTCACCTATGGAGTTTAGATGATTCATCATGAAACTCAGAGGGTCAGGCGAAGAATCACGAGCAAAGAGAAGGTTAAAAAGGTTGTGTACGGGTTTTTCTCTGTTCTTTATCTGCTCATAGGCTTCAACAGTTTCATAAAGCATGATGAATTTTATGGCCTCATATAGTTTGTACTCCTTACTTTCATCAGAAAAGAGTGTATTACACATGTTTCCTCTTTCTTCATGATCTTTAGTAGTACTTATTTCAGCCCACTGGAAAGCACACAGAAGAATAATAATACAATTATTAAGGATTCTATTTAGCACAAAAGATTACAAAACAGGAACAGAAACCTGTCCTAAGTGTACAGCACATATTAGCTGACTCGACCAAGGTACCACAGCATCTGCAGGCAGCAGCCCACAAGATGACCAAAGCATATGGTTTGAGGTTCAACAAGGCAAAGTGCTGGGTACTGTACTTGGGCCACAACAACCCCATGCAGCACCACATGGTGGGGGAAGAGTGGCGGGAAAGCTGCCAAGGGGAAAAGAACTTGGGGCTGCTGGTTGACAGCAGTTCAACAGAAGCCAGCAGTGTGCCCAGGTGGCCAAGAAGGCCAATGGCATCATGGCTTGTGCCAGAAATAATGTCTCCAGCAGGACCAGGACAGTGATTGTCCCCCTGTACTTGGCACTGGTGAGGCCACACCTCAAATTCTGTGTTCGGTTCTGGGCTCCTCACTACACGAAAGATATTGAGGTGCTGGAGTGTGTCCAGAGAAGGGCAATGGAGCTGGTGAAGAGTCTCAAGCACAAGTGCTATGAGGAGAGGCTGAGGGACCTGGGGTTGTTTAGCCTGGAGAAGAGGAGGCTCAGGGAAGACCTTATCGCCCTCTACAACTACCTGGAGGCTGCAGCGAGGTGAGGGTCAGTCTCTTGCCCCAAGTAATATGTGACAGAACAAGAAGAAATGGCCTGGAGTTGTGCCAGAGAAGGTTTAGATTGGATATTAGGAAAAAATTCTTCACCAAAGTGATTATTAAGCATTGGAACAGGCTATTCGGGAAAGTGGCAGTGCTGGGTTAACTGTTGAACTTTAATGATTTTAAAGGTGTTTTCCAACCTAAAAGATTCTACTATTCTATGATGATGGAGTTGGGAAAGGCAGCAGAAAACCCTGTTAGTGAAAATAGGCAAAAATCCATCTCACTGGCCAGACACCATCTTTATAAAATTAAAATGAAGTTGGGAGTTAGATCTCATGCCCTGTAACAGCATAATGCATCACAGAGCTGCTCTGAAACAATTTGTTAACTGTAGGATTTTTTCATTCTCTTGACTTGGAACTTCTTTCTTTAAAAACATCCAGTTTAAATGCTTCATGCACTAACATCACCATAAAAGAACTACAACAAGTTAAAAATAAAACCAAACAACCCAACACTGGCAAATGCAAAGAGCAACCAGAACAAAATGATAACTGCACACAAGAACCACCAGGCATGTCTCAAGAAGACAGGCAGCTGTCACTTTGGCACAGGAAGGGTGCAGGGAAGGGACAAGGACCAAATCTCTGGTTTAATTCCCTGTTTTTCTTACTATTGCTTTATTTCTAGAGCTAAGTAAGTCTGTTTGGGGTTTGTTGGGGTTTTTTTTAATTAACAATTACTGTCACTGTTAATAGCATTTAAAAACCACAGAGTTGAGGCACATATACACAGGGCCACATAAAAGGAACTAGCTTCAATGTCTACCAGTAAAATAAGATGTTGTGACTGTGGTAAGACAACCTAGAACCATGGTGCATTGTAGAATTTAAAAAGGCAGTTTGAAGTTAGATATGCTGGATAACGGATGCCTTCCAAGAAGAGTTACAACCTAATTGGCCAAACCCACGGAGTCCAGCAACACTAGTAACTGGCTGTGACCCAGGCGAGTACACAAAGCAACAGCCCGGCAGGAGGAAGATGGGGAGGAGAGGCTGGTGGTGTGCTAGGGATAGCTTGTGGCAAAGCAAACAGGAACAGTCCAGAGCTCACACCACTGCAGACATTTAGAAACCCCAGAGGAAATCAAGGAAGGTGCAAAGTCTCGACAGGCTGACTCATTATGTCTGTTTCAGAAGACTTTGGGGCTACTAAATCTCCCCAAGTTTTACACTTTTAAATAAGAGTTATACTCCTGGGTTGGGAATGACAACAATCTGGCAATGCTGAGCAGAGGGGGCAGTGAGGCTGACAGATCTTTGCAACCAAGTGCTTAAGCTTACAGAGAGAAATTATAGTAAAACTGGATAATAAACATTTCATGGAGATGGAAGCAAAGGAAATACAATAGTTTGGAAGAAAACACACCATTTCTTTGCTCCGTCCTATCTGGGGAGGGAATCCAGAAGCTTTTCATGCAGCATGTCTATTTTTAATCAAAATGATGAGATACTGCAGGAGCAACTTGATGGCAAGGACTAGCCACACAGTAACAGCTGTGGGAAGGATGACCTCCCTAACTTGCAGAGGACTCCCAGATACTTAGCCTAGTGGACTCCCGGGAGCTTGATCCCGCTGCAGGAGAGGTGATGGCCTTCCTTGTAGCTCAGCAGTCTGAACTGGGGAGGGCAGCTGACTACCACAGAAACACAGAACCAGGAGCAGTTCCCTAACTCTGTCTCAACCCATTTCTCAAGGCTTTTATTCCTCCCAACCATATCCTAAATACTCACGTTTGTCTTTAATGCCTCCATACATTTGCGCAATTTCCCGAAGGCATTGGGACCTGTGTATCTTTCTGACCCAAAACTGTATTGCTGAATCCAGTTACAACCTTGAGAATACAAAAGCTTTTCAGGGAACTGGGAAAAAAAACAAAACACAAAAGGCAAGCTAATCATAACCATAACAAGAAGTAGAGTATAAAGTTATATAAACTTGTCTACATACAATTTACAATGTGGTTCTATCATCTGGTTGTATAGTTCAAACAACAAAAAAAATGGACCTCATAACTCTGGTGCTAGGAAGGATGGTCCATTTGACTGCCAAGTCCTTAAGAAACTTCTAAAACAGGGCCAGCCAGAAAAAAAGAAAACATGTTCTCAGCAAGATATATAACCCACACTCTGGAGAAGCTGGATACTCTGAATTCAGTGAGACATTTAGGATTATAAACACCATCCAGCCTGCACACGCATCTCCACATGTAGCATCTATAGGTCCTCCACCTCCTTACTGCTATCTCCTGCTGGAGCTCTCCTGCTGCTTCAGCAACACAGCAGCTCCCAAGTGAGCCACTAGACTTTGCATGGATGTGGATGAGAAAGATTCAAATAACCTGTTGTTAAGGGAGTGACATACAGCAGGGTGGCAGTAACATTTATCCATCCACTTTTGGTTTTGTCATCATTTAGACTCATGTTCACATTGGTATGTTCAGGTCAGGGACAGTTTTTCAATTAACTGTAGTTCAAAGGGTTTGGAAAACTTCTCTTTAAATCCTGATAATGATGCTCTACTTCGACAGCCAACATGTCAGTTTTCATACTGAACAAAGCTTCCTTCTGCTGTGCAAGGACAGCTGAATCGTGGTCATTTAGAAAACTAATTTTACCTTCAATATATCTCTCTCCTTCATCCATGAAGGAAAAGGAATGCCTTGGTTGAATATCTGAAAAAGCACTGCTCTTAGTACACTGTAGTTGTCCCTCCTGACTTGTCGCAGGTATTTAATATGACAGTTCCAAAACAATTCTTCATATGCCTAGAAAAAGAGCAAAAAAATTTAGCGATAAAAAATATTCAATCTTGGACAAAACCCATGTTGTTTGAAGGCCAATTCCAAACTACTTATAAGAGGGAGCTAGGTGAATGAGAGAGTATATTTTTAATCTTAGATACACCAAATGTTACAGTTTTGTGTAAGCACCTTAAACTGGCACTGCCCCTTAAGAGTGATTCTGCACTCTCTATAAACCCAGCAACTTGTTCAAGTCTCTGCACTGTTGTTAGCATAAACATTCACATGGTCAACCAAAGTACAACAGGTCAGCAAAGATTTCTTTGCCATAATAGCTTTAACCTCAAGCACATAACAACCTGCACTGATACATGGGATGCAGTAGCAAAATGGCAGGAACAGGTATCTGGAAAAACTCCCTTTGGCAAAACATCTCCTTACACTGACCTGAATCCATCATGCAACAGTGACCTGAAGCAGATCTGGCAGCTCTGTGCTGAAGAGGACGGCCCTTCTTCCAGCCACATACTCCCTGTACTTCCTCTGCATTACCTCTTGCTCCCATCTGAGCCCTTGTTGAGACAATTCGGAGCAATAAACTGGCAGAGAATTAGGAAGAGGACTCTGTAGTCTCACAGGCTGCTACATCATTCTTACACTTCCTGAAGGTGGCAGCATGATGGTCTCAATCCCTGGTCCTCTTTCATCTTGGTTGCTTCCTCACCCCATCCCACCACCACTTTGCAGCTGCACTGTCTCCCCTAGTCTTCCTTTGCACCAGCTGTGAGGGTAATCATACTGAACCTACTGAACTCTTCCTGCTGGGGGAGCTTCCTGCTGCTTCAGCAAGCTCGGGGGGCTCAGAGAAGGCTCCTTCTGGATGACCTGCTCTATCAGTTCACCATCTGGGTGAACCACATCCAACAGAAGACGTGAGAGCCAGCACAAAAGGGTGAGAAGGTCTGCTTAGCTAGAATGAGGTGAAAAAGAGACAAAACAAGCACAGGATTGCCCCTTTTGGGAGGCAGCAACCATGTTATGCTGGTTAAGGGTCTCACAAGCTTCATACTAAAATGTGCCCCTTACCATGACAACTTCTACCTGATATAACCAGCCATACACCAGCTGCTCCATATATAGGAGTCTCCTTTTCAGGTCTGATCATCTAGAAGACTCATGGATTTTCTGCAAGGCTTTTTGCCCAGTATGTGCTTTCAAATTTATTACAAGTTTTTCTGTCTTTTGTTACTTGTCCCTCCAAATAGTTTTTTGCATTATTTGTTGTTCAGTGAACTTTTGCCATTGCCGTGTTCTTGCATTTAATGTGGTAAAGTTAGATCCTTTCTCTGTTCACATTTTGACCTACACTGCTGCAGTCTTTATTTAGACCCATGTTCATGCTGTCTCTTTTGCTTTCAGTTTGACCAGCCCGTGTAGCAGCTTCTGATAGCTGCTGCAGGTAGTTGCACTGGGAATGCTATTCCTATCCCAGGTACTACTTCTCCCCTGTCCTCATGCAGAGATTAAAAGTTAACTCTTACCTCCCTCATATATTTGGCCTGCTTTGTTTCTCCTTTCCATTCTCTTGCACTATAACCAAGTAGATCAACTTCTGACAGCACACTGAGATTCCCTAAATTGAGATTGATTCACAGGTTAGTTACCTTCTGCTCTTCTGCATCTAAGGGGGAGTTCTGGGGGGGATTAATGAATGTGGAATGACAACAAAAAGATTACTCATGAGTTTTCTCTGAAGATAGTTGCTCCACCTGCAATACAAATGATAAAACAGGTGTCAAAGAGGAGGTGTCAAAGGTCAGGATTTACTGAAATAAGCAACAGCATGGAAGACTGAAGTCAGCATAATAAAAACCTACCGTTTCAGTTGCTGTGCTAAAAAGCTGTATAGCCTTCTACAATACCAAAAAACAGCAGCAAGGAAAGACATGCTTAGCATTAGCTGCACTTTCACTTTTTGCCACATAAAACACAAGGATTCCTTGGTGGTTGTTGTCCAGGACCGCACCTCATGCCTTCCTAAAATAGGGATAAAAGGAGAGAGGGAAAGATATCTAATCACTGTTTTGAAATCCTTGTTTCTATTTGTTTTCTTACAGAGAGAAAAATCATCCAAGTATGATACCATTCCAAATGAAACACAAAACATGAAATGTAAAAGTGTAAAAGATGAGTGTATTTTACTTAATACATATACTTTATATACTTAGTTTTTCAAGTTTCTAGGGTCTTGGGTGCACGTGGTTCACATTTCCAAGCTTTCCTCCACACAGTGAACACTACATATATAGTTACAATGGAATCACAGGAAGACTGGTATCAAAACAACTGCTCAATAACAAAAAAAACCCCAACCCAAATTATTTGTTTTAACTTCAGGATGTGCTGATCTAGAGACCTGTACTGTCATTACTTTGTCTCTAAGCCATGGTTTTAAAGACCATGAGTTCCTAAGACTTACTTGTAGTCCACAAATGGGCCATATAAGGCAATATTAGCTGACTTTATCATATGACTGCCTGGGGAATTAAAAGAATGTTTCTGCCTCAATTTGAGTAAGTTTAGGGTCAATTTAAAACTCCAGAGAAAGTTCCTCTCCAGGGATTTGGTAGAAAGCTCAGGAGATCATCACAAAGGGGGCACACTCTCACTGTTCTTTATGATATAAATGACATGATTCTGTTGTTCCCTTGGCATTACAGACAGGGTTAGGGAAGGTTATGGTTGTCTATTGTTGATAGGAAGATAGACAACTGAGAGAGGGCCTGAAGTCTGAATACTTGACAAAGGCAAAGTGCTCCCTAAGTGATAAATTTGTCCTCTGGATGAAATTTGAGTATAGGAAAATCCCAGAGTTTATGATCAACAGCTGCTCTGTTATTATTTATTGATTTGGTACAAAATTTTACAAGAACTCAATTTTTTATAAAGGCATCCCCAGAGAAGGCTAAAAAGATCCTTCTCTGCAGAGTCCCCAGAGGGAATTACTCATTCAACATAGTTTTATGTCAGCTGAACTTCTGCCCCTCCTGGCTTTAACATGAAATTTAAGAGGGGCTTAAGTTTTCCAAGGAAGTTAAGCCCATGCACTGTGGACAACTATCCAGTCAAAGAGTTATGTATGAATCCCAACCTTGGCAACAAGATAAACAGTGACACACACACATCTTTACAAGCACTGTTGCATATACACAGAGCACTGCTGATATTTGGTCTTTCCCAATATTCTGTTGTTTGAAGAAGTTTTATTACAGGATGTGGTATGCTAGTCATCTGGAGGAAAGACCCAGACCATCTCTTCCATGAACAAAAGGCAGGTTAAGAGCTATAAATGAAAAGATTTTAATAGACTTTAAAGAGGTAATTGGAGATGGGGCTGAAGTGCTACTTCCCACTTACACAAAAACTGTATCCTGTGACATATGAGATGACAGACAGGTGTTCTCTTAGTTTCTACTCACAGGTTGCACTAACATGTGTGTACATGGCATCACCAGGAGTTTTGCCTGCATGCACTGAGCAGTAAAAAGCAAGACATGCCTTCAGGCACAACCAAAAAAATCAAAAATCTGAAGCTTCAGGAAACGTTTATTACTGATGCCAAGTAACAGACAGCAAAACATCATCTGTAAGGTTTGGAAATGGAAAACCTCATGGAAACACCATGACACTCCCACTTGCAACT